ACATTCATGAAAATTTATCGAATTAGTGATGCTTTTAATTGCGTTACTAAAAGAATCGAAATATTTACAATTAGTAAAACTCCAAGATCTTTTTCGTAGAGCTTTATTTCCTTTTTCATATTTATCTCCAATTAAGAAAGTATACGTATGTGGACTCTTTCCACAGTCAGCTCTTCAGTTACCACGCAACGGCGGATTTAATTGCCCGGCCAATTAATGGGAATTAGGATTAGCGGATTCTGAGAGCGCGGGTATCGCCACTCCCGTTTGCGACCAGCAACCGTCGCAAACGAAAAACCGTCGGAGGATCCGGCACGGCGGCGGCGACGGAGCAGTAGCGGCAGGAAATTTCAGAAGCATCGGTGACAAACGTCGGAAGCCACTCTGGACTTTGCTATCGTACCCTTACTCTATCGTGACAACGAGATACATCGGTCGCGGCTGCGGGCGACTACGGGCTCGCGAACGGCGATTCAAAAACGTCCAATAAACGCGCGATGTGACGCGCGACCGCCGTTCCGAGATGGGAAAAGTTTCGGAGCGTGCACATTGTTTACGCCGCGCGTTACAAGGGCGACGCGGAAATTCCGCGAAATCCGGCAGATTGTGCCGCTCGCGTGCGCGACTCACGTACAACACCGCATGCATATATGTGTACGTGTATATGCAGAGGAAGGGGAAGGGGCGCGCGGCACGCACACCGCGGCGTTATCATAACCCAGTGACGCCAAATATTGATTTTGACACGTACACGTGACAAGGCGTCGGACACCGGCGCGCGGCGTGCTGTGAATGCGTACGCGCGGTATACACGCACGTATACGTACGCACGACCGGCACGGTACACACACACTGCACACATTCGGCGAGAACGCTCCAACGTACGTCGAATTTAGCCATACATACATATATACATGCGCACATACATATATGCGCTCACGTTGATCCATCGCGAGCTCTCGAGCCGCCACTCGCATGTATACCGGGTGATAAAGGAAAACAGCCGATAAATGCGTCAGGGAAAGAAGGACTCGGGCGCGAGTTAAATTTTCGGTCCCGCTGCGTTTGTGCGGAAATGATTTACAACGCGGTAAACTTACGCGCGTGCAGATAAAATCGACGGTTCGGAACAAGCCTGTCGGAACGTCGCGTCGCGTCGGACGAGTGTATGCATTACGTTACGCGAATGTTTGCGAATCGATGTTGCCGACGTTCGCGATTCGATCAAGTTTTACGTCTCATGAATATTAAAATCGTACCGTGTGTACCTAAACATAGTTAATTAAATTGCAAGAATAATAGAATAATAATTGCGAGATTGCAATCTCGCGATCTTTTCTTCGCGCATGATTAACAGTAACCACCAATGCCGTTTGACATCGTATATACCACTCGCGCGACGTGTATCGCCATCAAGTGGAACGGCAAACTAATTAGTTCGATTAGCAGTTGTACTATCAAGCTCATAGTTGTGCAACAACGTGTTTCTCGAGAATTTATCATATTTCAGCGCCCCTATTTGTTGGCGCGTAGTATTAAACGCACGCCCGAGCCCCGAGTTTCACGCGGGCACGCATTGACGAAGCAAATTAACGTTAAAGCTCCTAATAATATCATCGCGTCACGTTCCGATCTGCAACAACGTTGCTTGTCTGAGACCGTCGATTGTACGGAGAACGATCTTAATTTCCTTTCTTCCGACATTACGTGGTATTATAATAATGTCCAACCACGCGACGCGTGTATCGCGAATCGACAAATAAAAAGTAATACCTATATAGAAAAAAAACGTTCTATTATAATTTATGTAATGAATATTAATAATATCGTCAAAATCAAAGTTAACATTTAAACAAACGATGAATATAAATACTAGTGCAAAAGCTTGACGGTTGTTTCATACCCGTGCTCTGCGCCATATCCTCAAAAAGGCAGAATCATTCGAATCGAACACTTTGGATCGAAATGTGCATCACTTTACGACGAAGTCGTTGACGCTTGCATTTCGGGTCGATGTTTTCACAATCGGTTAGTACGGCCGCACTATGCGCGATGTAAAAGGAGGTCATGGTACAACCAAATAGCAATAATAATACAAGAACTAATAAGAGAGTCCCCCCCCGCAGCCCCGCTTCCGCACGATATTCTAAAACCTGAAATTCCGAACCCTCGCGCACATGCTGGCGACATCTGGCGGCCGGACGGGGAGCGTTATGGCACAACTGCATTACCGCGAGAGCGAGTAACTTACCGGTAACTTACCAGTCTCGATAACGAACATGAAAATTCGCTGATTGAGGAACAATTACCTTCGAAGTTACCGCCTACGAGAACATTTTTTTGTCGACATATCTTACGGTTTGATACTAATCGAATGGACGATTGGATATGCAGAGAAGAGTCTTAGCGTCGATTGGAAATATCGTACTGAAAATGATTGTACTAACGTGGCACATCTTAGATATAACAGACGTTTTTATTTCAATTAAATTTAAAAAAAAATATTATTAAGCTACCAAGATCTGGCACGGATTAAATAACAAATTTTTTAATTGATTGTATATTACATCATGTCCTGTTTCACTTATTATTATTTTTATTTTATTTATATTTGTTATAAATATTGTACTTGGCTTTCGATTTAAGATTTATAATAATAATTACTGTATATAACAATTATATTTAATTAGTCATGTTTATAAGTATCATCACATCATTATCTCAGCACTAATATCTGATTGATAAATCCAATCGATGATAAATATATTTCTATTTCAATGACGTATAAATGTGAATAACAAAAGACATTTGGAGACACTTGAGATTATACAAGAAAAATGATCAATTATCGATCTATCAATATCTCTATATCAATATCATTATGAGATATGTATATCATTATGAGATCGACTTCCGTTTGTAGATTATTTTAATCAAGAATGTTTGAGATATACCATCTCGATCACATCCCCTTATTAATAACTTACTTTTAGTTTACGTTTGCCGCTTTTCGCCGCCACCTGCTGACAAGCCTGACACAAGCTCCATCTTGCACACCGGCTGCACCTGTTACGCGGATATAATATCCGGCGTCGTCAACAGAGAGCGCAGCATGCTTCCAAATAATGCGAAAATGTCAATATCTGCGAGACCAAATCAGCAACTGAGAATATCATCGTCCTGTACTTTTGTTTCAATAATCAATATAACTGTATCTCATGCAAAATGCGATTAAATCTCGTTTTTTAATTTCTCGACCATTCGATTAGGCGGTCTGGCGAGTGAAAGTGTTTCGCTCATAGGATCTGTTAACGGCCGGCCCAAACGACCGGACGTGACGTGTGAATTGAGAGGGAAAGTAATATTTTAACAGAGAAAATACGTAATCTCGGCAAGTCAGACCCACCTCGTTGAGATCGTCGCGAGCCGGCTGAGCGTACGCGACTTGTCGCGTACGCTCGAGCCATCCAATGTCGCGTCGTCACAGCCGGCCATGGCCGGGGGGAAGGTGCCGCGTGGCCAGGTGCATCCGCAAAGATTGGCGCGGCCATATTGGAACATTCAAACGCTTATGGCGGTATTTACATTGAGATGCGTCGTCGGTAAATAACACTAGGAGGTCGCGACGGAGACGCGAGCGCTCATCTTACGGGGAAAATCGTTCTTGTCCCCCCGCGACATAGGACATACGTTACGAGGCAAATTTACGATAAGTACGACATACGGCCGAGCTCGACGGCTCGACTCCGTAAGTGGATGCGCCGAATGCAGTACAGTCAGGGCCGAAAGTAACGTCGACACGTGCGGCGAACCAACGGCACGGACCGTTTAGACGGGAAAATCGGGCAAGGCGCTTCATGAGAAAGCTCTCCGTCGTGCCAAACTGACACGATTATGTGACGGTAGTATCGCCGTGCGACGTACCGTTTCGGAGATATGCGTTTCCAAAGTTCATTTATCGCGGCTGGTACGCCGAGGCTTTCGACCGTTACTGTACCGCTAACACGACGAAGGAACCGAGTGGCCGTTCCTACCGTCGCGTCGTGGCCTGTTAAAATATCACGCTGATTGGTCGCGATTACGCTTAAAGGATAACTTTTTCAGTACGCGAGAAATGCGAGATACGAATAGAGATATCGCGTGGCGATGTAATCAGTAAAAAAATTCTGCCGTTTGGTGCGCACGCTGTCGCGTACGTATGACGCGTATATGTACATACACATCTTTTCCCCGAGATGACCGTTAAATGCTGCGAGCGGTTACGATAGTTCGTTAAAAGCGTCAAGAATTAATTAAGCAAATCGTGCGAAAACAGCCAAACGTCCGATGGGGACGAAACGAATGCATTTTTCTGCGTCGATTACATCCATTATCGCGATATTTCTCTACGTGTTTTTTTTTTCTTTTAATTAAATCTCCGGAACACGAAACGATTGTCATATGACGCGACCAGGCGCTCGCCGCGACAGCTCGACGCTACGAAACTCGGAGTATGCTTGTACAGGCGGCGACAAAAGGCTCGCGCGGCATGAACGAGGTAAACGCGTATCGGGTCGGTTAAATCGCAATATTGCGCCAGGGGCGTCATGAGAAACTTGTAGAGAAAAAAAAGTTGGCCCGATTTGGTGTATATAGTATCCGTCTTCAGGCCCGCGTTGAGGAGTTATCGCAGGTCGAAGCTGATTTTTCCAGAAGCACCGTCGTTCGTAGGCGCGCGCGGACTGTACCGTGGACGCCACCGGCAGCCACGAGCGGCCGCTTCACGTACAGCCAGTCGCGAAAGTGCGCGCGGTGCGCCGTGAGGAAACCACGAATTGACATACTCCGATCGCCGAATTACGCGTGGGGCGTCATGAGAAACTTGTCGGTCGTAAAAAACTAACACGATTTGGTGTATATAGTATTCGTTTTGGTGCGATCGTTGTCGAGTTATTCGCGTTGGCAGGCGCGTCGGGCGGTCGTGTATCCGGACGCTTTCAGCGGGGACTGTACCAACGGACGCTACGGGAGTCCGTAGCCGGCGTAGGCTCAGTTGGCAGCAGTACGCACAGCGAGAAGCATCTACCATGGCCGATATCACGAAGGAGGAGCTACGCAAGGAGATCACCGGTAAGCGGCGATATCGCGCGATGTAGACGATTTCGAGGTCGGATTCCTGGGGAATCGAGCTACGCACGGGCGTTGGCGCGCGTTCCGCGTAGCCGCGGCATCGGGAATACGGGCGAAATCGGGCTCTTTCCTCTTGCGCGCGGACGACTTTAGCGCGCACGTATGTGCCCGAGTGGCGTGCCCCACGCCGGCCATTACAACCGGAGCTCGGCCGTATTTTACTACCTACGTATCGGACTAACCGCGGGACCGGCCGAGTACGCGCCCCGTGCAATCCGCTCGCGATTTTTCGACCAGCTATTTCGGTGCCCTGACGAAAGTTCGGATTTTTCGTCGTTCGCTATAAAAAGATAGCTTTCTCGGCCCCGTCCTTGCGGCGGGCCGTATGACGCGTCTCGAGTGTGTGGTGGCGCGCGCCTATCAGCCTCGCTCTCGTATTCTCGTGTCTCGTTCCCTCTCTCTATCGCTGTCTTTCTCTTTCTCACGTACTCTCGGCATCGCGTCACGACGGATTTTTACGCCGTAGGAGAGATAAAAAAGTGCGTATATCCCTGTATATGCGACTCCTTGGAGAAAAGATATATGCGCTTCTCGTCGATCGGAAACGGCCACGCGCGCGCGTTGCCCTTTTCTTCCCTTCTTCGCGCGCCTCTCTCGCGTATATCGCCGAATGGATCGTCATTGGTTATAACCGGAGCCGCTGCCGCCCGCCTCCACTGCCGCAGCCGCAGCCACCGCCGTTCTCGTCGTCCTCGTCGTCGTTAATATGCCGAGATATATTCGCCAGTTCGCTATCTTTCCCTGCTTCGTTGTAAAGTCCCTCCCTCGCCATTGCAATCCGCGTCTCTCTTTCTCTATCTCTCTCTCTCTCGCCCGTCGCGAGTTACAAAGCGACGGTTGATGATTAACGAAGCGCGCGCGCTGCCGACGCGCGCGCGCGCCCGCGTATTTTTTTCGTGAACGGTTTTCGGCGAGCGTCGCGAATCGACCGAGAGCGCTCGCGCGGGCGCGCGCGCGTGCGAGACCGAGACCGAGACCGACCCCGACCGTCCGTTTCCCTCCGGCTTCTCGCTCTCCGTCTCTCCTCCTGTCCCTTCCCATCTTCTCGCGGTTTTCGATCGTTTCAGGAATCAATGCGCCGCCCGATCGACCGCGGCACGCGGAGAAAAATCCCTCCGCGTCTCGCTCCACGCGTCGCAACGACGCCTCGTCGCGTACTTACAGATATCTTTTTGTTACAGTCGCGCGCCGCTCCGATCGGTGCCGCGTCGACCGGCACGGCGCGCGCCAGTACGGCGGCCATTTGCGCTCGATATTCACTAGATCCCCCCGACGCGGGAAACCAAACTAGTCCCCGCGTATACACACGACGCGTTACGTACTTAGACGCGGGGAACGAATGGCGACGCGCGACCATTCCGTTTTTTTTCAATACAACCATGACCGAATTTATGCGGATTTTTTAACTTGTACTTTTAACCCAGGATTTTTCTCCCTTTATTACCTTATCCTTCCCAAATAATAAAATGAAGATAATAAAATTAAAGAGCATTTGGATAAGAAAAATTCTGTGATAAATAAAATCTTTGCAGGAACAATGCGTTATTTTTTATAATTGAAATAATAATTATGAAATACATGAATAATATTTGTCACTGTCCTTAAGGTTTTCTCAGATTTTTTCAGTTTTTTAAATAAATATTTTAACGTATCTTGCCTGCAACAAGCATTTACTACATCATGTTTATTAATTTTGTTTAGCAATCCTCAAGGATGCTGACCTCACTACAATGTCTGCTAAGAAAGTGAGGCAACAAATCGAAGAAAAACTCGATGTTGACCTTATAGAAAGGTAAGCAATAAATAAGAAATATGACATATATAGATGAAATACATTACAGAAGTTGATTGCAGGAAAATATTTTCGCATTTTATATTTTGATATAAGATATGACCATCGCGCATATATTGGTAAAAAAAAGCGACCACGCTAATTTCGATTCCAACTCGATTCGTATTACACAACGTGGCAAAATATTTTTTTTTATATATACAAGCGCATTTACTCACGTCAAAGCTGCAACATCTAGACTATTTTTTACAGCCAAATCAAATTGCTTTTCGTTGTTGTCTTGTGTCTCGTTGTTGTCTTGTGTCTCATTGTTGCCTACATCTTTATATTGTAAGTTGAATTTAATACGTTTATTATATAAAAATTTTTTATCACGTTGATAATGTAAGTCAACCTTAAATACGAGTCATATTAATAAAATATTAAAGATATGAATTCCGAATATAAATATGTGTGTATGCAAGTATTTAGTATAAAGTAATTTAATTCTACGTGTCTAAACAAGTTTGAGATGTTTTCTAAATAGAAAAATGATTCATTTCTTTATCAATTTCAATTCGATAATTTATTATATGTGCTCATGACACGCAGATGATATTACCGTGATATAATTTGTCTTTTAGTATAAAATATATTTATTTGATTACACTTTATTAATTGTTATCCTTGAATCAAAACTTTAAAATGGACATATAATAGGCACTTGTGCACTATAAAATTGTGCATAAGAGAGTCTCTTGGTGTCCTAGAAAAAAACGGAGGATTATCTGAGTGGAACTGCCAGTATAATAGATATAAGTTACCACCTCGTTCCTTCTCTGACATGCTTTCACATTTAAGCTTACAGATTATCCCCGCATTGATAATCATTACATAAAAAATAATATCCATAAATTACATTTATTTTTTATAGGAAAAAGGAGGTGGATGATTTAGTCATGGAATGTCTTCAAGAAAAACAGGACGGAGGAAAGAAAAAGAAGAAGGCTGCTAGTGAGGAGTCTGAAGATGGCGAGGAGGAAGAGGAAGAAGGATCTGAAGAGGAGGAGGAGGAAGAAGAGAAAAAGCCAGCTAAGCGAAATCCTGCTAAAAAGACTCCTAACAAGCGTAAGAAGGGATCCTCTGATGATGAAGAAAGCGCTAGTGATGATGATGCTAGCGACGAAGAATACAGCCCAAAGAAACCTAAAGTTACACCTAAAAAAAGTAAGATTTTTATTTTATAAGTATTTTTATTATAATTTCATTTTTTATCAAGATTTTATTAAAAATCTTGATTCTACATGGAATATGTTAATATTTTTTTATAGGTAAGCCTGGAAAGAAAGGAAAGAAGAAGGGTAGCGACAGTGACAGTGACGAGGACTGGGGTAAAAACAAGAAAGCCCCAGGAAGTACAGCAAAGAAGGGGGCTGGTGGCAAAGGCAAGGGAGGTGGTTACACGCGCGCTATCACATTATCTCCAGAACTCGCCGCGGTTGTTGGCGCAGAACAAATGGCTCGACATGAAGTCGTGAAGAAAGTATGGAGTATCATCAAAGAAAGGAATCTTTATGTAAGTATTATTTGTAATCATTTATCTAATATTTTCATACTTATTTTTTATACATCAATATTTTCTATTTTAATTATTTTATATATATATATTACTATATATTACATGTTACTTTATAAAGTTCATATTGCCAAGAAAATGACTATTTTTACAGGATCCTAAGAATAAACAGTTTGCGATTTGTGACGAGGAATTAATGAAGGTAATCGGCGTAAAGCGTTTCAGAACTTTCGGCATGATGAAATACCTCAAAAATCACTTTGTAGATTAAATCATTCTTCAATCCCGATCTCCGACAAGTTATATACATATATATATATATAACATATTCCAGGGTGCGTCTTGTGCACCTCTTCATCTTTCTCACACGATACATACATATACATGAAACACAAAGGTATTTCTTGCGACTTAAGACTTTAGACCATGTTTACACCATTCCGACGTACTCTGCCGCTCATTGTAATCATTTTGTCCCATTGATGACTGCAATATATAATATATTGACTTTGTAGCCATTATTAATTATTATAAACATGACTCCTGACAAATGCGTTGGTAATGACGCATACGATTCATATAATTTTTAACAAGTAATCGCAAATTCTTTGGAATCCTTTTAACATTGGGACAATTGTTACCATGAACGTCCAGATGATTTCGAAATGTGAATGACATTACAGTGGCCAATAGTCAATAAGCTGGTTTTAAGTCATCTAATTCAAAATAAATGTTATATCATTTGTATGGTCGTCATTAATAACAATATCTTACTCCTAATGCAGTAACGGCGCGCGATTATAGCAATGGCATTATTGAATGATAAACTAAAAATGAAATTTAAATTTGGAAGCACTTTTTTTGATATTTATAAGACGCTCAATTTTATTCTGTGACATTTCAACTAACACATTTATTACATTGGCGATATAATTACTTTCAATATATATATATATTTGAAGTATTAGAAACATATTTGTTCTGTGTCATTATCAATGATTTTAACTATCTATCCTTTAGTACGAAAATCCTTAAAGTTAATGCCAGACTATGCATGATTTGCGATTTATAATTTGCTGTTCGCCGGTCATGAAACTAATATAGAACTATACTATATGACGAACCGTAAATCATAAACAATATGGATGGTTCATATTGGCGAATGATACATTTCTGCAAATACTACAAATTATGGATAATCTGGTGCTAGTTTTATAGTATTTTTGTTATTTCTCTACCCCTTTTTATATTGAAAATTTTTTCTTCTGAAAAATGAATGTAATAGAATGACAGATTTCGCCTTCAGAACGAAGATAAATGTGCGGACATTTACAAAAAAAAAAACAAAGAGAAGCTACGCGGAAAATTAATATCCTGTACCTCTTCTGTATAATAGCTACATTATACACATGCAAGTGTAAGCAAAGTTTAATTGTATTATCGTGTAATTACTAATTATTGTCGTAATATAGGTTTCTTGGTGTAAAAATTGAATCTAACGTTTAAGATCTAATGGTAAAACAATATATTCACTGAAAGGTATCTTATAAGCATATTAAATGAATAAAGTCACAGTGCGTGCAGCGACCACTGGATGATGTTAATGAAATGTAGGGAATTAAATAATAGGCTCACGCGAAGCGAGGTGCGGAGTCTTAACTGCATACATCTGTCCGAGCTTCGACATATGTAAAATTCGTGTATTTTGAATATAAATTAAAGAAAAGCTGGCCTAAAAGTCACGAGGAAAGCCACACAAATAAGATCATTGCAGTTCACGAAAGCATTACATACGTGGAAGAAATGCGTACGGAATGATAAATTAGAATACGAACTTGTTTCCCTAAAAATGAAAGAGGAAAAAACCTATTTAAACTGTAATGTTCCGTGAAATGTATTTGGAAATGTCATTAAAAAGTATTGCTTTCATTTTTTTTTTAAGCTTGGGTGTAATTTATTTCAATTCCTAACACTTTTAACGTGACCCTATATTTATATCCTTAATATTTCGAATAAATGGATTTATATATGACTGATTATTCACAATGTAAATATGTAATTTTTTTCATTCCATTTAATATCAATATTGTTGAGACATTTACGCGTGTATACAAGTTTACACAATTATTTCAGAGGTAACTTGAATTTTATAAATGTTCAAGCTCATCTTCCAAGAACGATACAACGTGCTGATTGTCATCCCGCCTGCCTCGCAATCCAAATATAAACGTCATAAGTTTCTTTGTGTTTGTATAGTTATCTCTTCTGGTTTGAACTTCCTTATCCTGAGGCAAAGCCGCTTGCACGTAAACACCATATCGAAAGTGCGAATTAAGTGTCTGCGTGCTGCGCGTAGCACATCGACTTATGTTTGCCTGAAAAATTATTATGCGAAATCAGTATTTTTCATCTTATTCATCTACACTACAGAACTGAGAAAAAATGGAAAAATAAATTATATGTCAAAATTATATGCATATTACATATTTTTGATCAATATGTTTCGTAACATACATTAGAACTCTACAAATAATAAGGCGAAATATTAAAAGTTATAGATAAAATACGGAGTTCTTAAAATTGTCATTGCTAGAGAGCCGAGATTTCTTAATGTTCCTCAGACATATATCTTATCATTCAAGTATTTTTTTTATAAGTCGATAAATTTCGACGTACCAAGTGCAATGCTCTACGTTTCAGCTCCCAAATGCTGGAAGTATAATCTTTATCAATGTAGGGCGGAAGTATGTGGACATCTGTTTGAACTTTCTGATCATGACGAATTTTTAACCGCAATCCTTTTTCCGTTAATCTTGAAAAATGAATATTTTTTTGCGCTCGTTTATATAAGCGACAAAATATAATTAAATATATAACTTTTTAATTATATTTTATTATATAGATAATTTTTAATAAACAAAATATTGATAAACTCACTCTTCTTGGCTTTGCATGGCTTCAATTTCTTCATGCAATTGGAACAGGTAAATGTATTCCGCGTGATTGCGAACAAAATTGAGCGCGTCGTAAATGTACCTGTTAGTAGTTGAAGCTGAGGAATATATATATATATTATTTTTATTTGTACGATAAAGAATACCTGTCGGGATTTTCTCCGAATTTAGCGGCTACTTCGGGCGACTTAAAGGCATAATGTTTTCCTCTCCATTTTGCAACACCGTTGTTCGGATTTCCTGGTATAAGGGCTCCTTTGCCCGTCGCAAATGTCCACGCGCAAAATCCTAGAAACTAATAAATTCCTCGGTCCAGCATTGTTTGAAAATTTATTCGAGTCTTTGGAATAAAATCACATAAAATTTTTGTACAAGCTCTTTAATTCTTTAAGTTTCGTAAAATTATATAGAAGTATTAGCTGTAAATGTTGCTCTATATTACGATTACCTCTAAATTGATCTTCTCGAAGTCTTTAGTGACGTTTGGATAATATATCAAACATTCTCCACATTCCGCTGTAAAAAAACGGAAAGATATATATATATATATATATATCCATTCCATATCAATATTTATGCGAACACGAAATAAGATCGATGAGTAAAAATTCGTTTTTAATTTAAAGAACTATTAATACTTATTAAATTCCCCATGGAACGTTCCAATCTTTCAGCATCGGTTAAAATATCCACATCCTCGGCTATATCTTCTAACTTTGTTTCCTCGTAAATGTTCACAATCTATAACGTAAATCATTCTAAATATAAACCGGACAAGTAACATTGGTGAACGCATTAATACCTTATTGCTCAAACTCTGTAATTCCCACAGGAAGTTGTTGATGCTACTCAAAATGATCACCTCATCTTGCAGACCCATCCATACATCCGCCAAATCGATAAATTGCGGCTGATAGGCAGAGTATATATTATTAATCGTCGTAATGCGATTATATTTAATGAAAACGATTCAACAAACATTTTATCCTAATAAAAATTATAACTTTCCGAATTTCAAAGAAATATTATATTTTGTTAGAGAATTCCGCTAATAGATAATACATTTTAATAAATGAATTATTTCTTATATATGGAACAATCAGATTTATATACGAAAACAATTGTTTCATCGAAATTGTTACTATTATATTAAAACGACTATACGGAATTCCGTAACTTTTAATTTCTGAAAATACTTAGTAAATGCTAACAAAGTAATTATGTCAGGCATCAATTTTATCTTTTTAAGCAGTCGTATTTACGTAGACTTGAGTAGTAGGGATAGCCGTTCTGTATCGAACAGTGTCGTGGAGTTTAAAGAGTCGTGCTTGAAGACGCTCCAGCAGATTCTTCACCGTGTTCTCGCTACGTTCCACATCACTCAGCAGCTTTCTACGACAAGATTGTATTAGAAATCGAGTGAATTGTCGAGATTTCTCTTCCGAAAATATCATTTCTCTTTTGAGAGATGATGTACCTGATGTAGATCTCTTGCTGACGACTGGCCGTTAACATTTCGATGGCCCACTCAATTTTTCCGTCTGCGTCTAATGCCGCTTCCTTTGAGCTGCTACATGCAGCATCCGAAGCGTCGATCGATATGCGCGTGATCGCGTTTTCCACAACGGCCGTGTACTTGTATATCTTGGTCATTAGCGGCTCTAACAGCTCGAGAATAGAGTTGCGGGTCTTCGTTAGAGCCTCTTGTAGAATGCTCGGCACTAAAAATAATTATCGCAATCATTCTTGTGATGCGATAAGCTTTCTTGTAGTTATAACATCTTTCACGATATTATCCCCGTTAAAGCCAATCAGGTTTAAGCTGTCACCGAGTCGTCCGGATTAAAAATTATTCCACGCTCTTACGGTCGTCGATCCCCTCGCCACCGCGTTGACAATCTCTGTTAAATAGACGGATTCCCGCAACTAAACACATTAACTCCATCAATTGCTCCTCCTTTTCCCGTTTCGGCAAAGTCACGTAGTGAGCCAGCTCGGAAGCCTGAAAGACGCTCTGCAACGCCACCGAAACCTCCCTAATGATAAATACATTATATGTAACATTATGTATCAAACTTTAAGTTGAAGATTTTACAAGAAATTGAATAAATGTATATTTAATAATAAATAATTATTATTAAATAATTTTTCGAGTATATTTCTTTTATTCGCGACGGTAATAATGCTGCGTTTGCAAAAGATAAATTTTCCGAGATTGAGAAGATAGAAATGTGAGACGAAACACTGAATATCATATTGATCTTGCTTGATTTTATATAACTTGGAATTTTTATTAAATTTATGCGAACATAATCGATGATTACCTCAGAACTGATGAGACCGTGGGGCTTCCCAGACCGCTCAGAAGCGTTATTACTGCCAATATTTTCTGATACAACTTTTCCGTATCTTTTCCACTTTCCAATTTGTTAGTGTCGCAAATTTCGGCGACCAGAGGTGCAGTTTTTTGGTGCAGTCGTAATCGATGCCTTTTGACAGTTTCGTCTGAGCGAAATGTGAAATATTATGGTAATAATTTCTACATATAAAAGCAACATCCAGTTCACAAACATGCTTACCTCTATCATGATAATGTTTAGCGAAGTACAGCTGATTTTTCAAAGTTACAAGACTGGGTCGACTTTGGTCACATAGCCTCTCTGTTATAGCTTGAATCACTTTTGCATTTTCCTCGTCATTTTCTTTTATTCGGTACGCTGGATTTAATTGATATAGAGAGAGCTAAAAGTTTTTGAGAACACTCCGCTTGTAATTAATCACTGCTTGGAATCTTGCTTGCGCTTCAATAATATCTCATTATTAAATTACCAAAAACGAAGCCAAATCCTTGGTTACTGACGTCCCTTTTACTTTACATTCGTTTACGATTTTTTTCGTCAATTCTTTTCGAACGTTTTCCATTATAAGAGGCGAATAAAATAGTCAGCTGATTTAGAACTTTTCACCTGCTACAATCGTCGACTCGAACGAAATCCACCCATCCACCCATAAAGTTTGATCAATACTTATATTGAAACCTATCGTTACTAACGTTTCAATACTTTCTTAAATTCTTTAAATACTATTATCTATTATCACAGTATAATATTAAAAATCAATAAGTAGATTGATTTGCACAATAACTACTGACATAAAGAAACGTATCATCGTGAATTAATATTCTTTTATCGATTAATATTTATCACGTACTTCATACATCTAAGTATACAAGCGCAAACTTCATGTCGACTAGTGAAAGATTTATGATTTCTTATTTTTCCCCACAATAAACATTTACAATATACATTTAACGCTTACACATGGTTTTATATGAAAAATAAAAATAAAGATACACGATATTTCTTCGGGAAATGGAAAGCATTTAGGGGCTAATGGTAGCCCCTAAAGATAGAATTTCTTAAAGCCGTTCTGAATTTCATCAAATGTACGAATAAAATCATTTTTTTCACGAATTAATAATCGCAAAAATAATACGTATTGTCGTATTCGCGTTTGAATTCCGTGCGTCACGGCGCGCTCGCGCTCGGCCGTTTCCGCCGCGCCGCGACCGGATGTCGCCATGGTGGGGGAAAGGGGGCGGTCGGTCGACGGTTCAGAGGTGTCGCGACGGTCTGCGCGTTCGGAGACTTCGGAGTTTTCGGAGTGAATCGGAGCCAGTCGGGCTGGGTGGTCGGTAACGTGAGTGTGGTGTGTGCGCGCGCGAGCGACAGACGCGAGACAGCCAACGTGCGAGGGAGCGTGGGTCGCCGCGTCGTGTGGAGCACCGTGTTGTCATGACGTTCGCGTGAGTCGCGGTCAACGCGTCCCAAGGCAGCGAGCCAGCCAGCGGGTTGTCGAGTGTCTCAGGAACATGGCGCGCGATTCCCGGCGCGCCGATCCGCGACGCGTCGTCGCCGTCGACAACGGCGGTGGTGGCGGCGGAGGCGGAGGCGGAGGTGGTGCGACGGCGAGGTGCAAACTGGTGCTGATCCTTCTGACGTTGCTGCTGGCGATCGTCGTCCCTGTCGCGTACGCCGAGAATCAAGGTAAGTCACGCGTCACGCTTTTTTTCTCGTCAATGCACATTACGTTACTTACGGGGCTTTCGTCAACTTTTCCTGCACGGTGACGCTTGACGCTCCAGCTGATCCTCTCGCGTCTCGCAGTCGCGTGTAACTGTCGTATCGTGCGATTTGATTTTATGGGCATCGGAGTATTCGGAGTAAATGAAAGAGCCGCGGCGTCAAAATTAGGCAAGTCTGCACTTGTACGTACTTTTCGATATGTTGTTTTCAAGGTCGTTCGATTGGCTCCTGATATGCGCTTCGTCGTTTTATATATGATCTGTATATTATACGTTTCTCTCGTTTATCGCGCGCGTTCGCCGCCAGTGCCGAAGCATGTGCGAAACGAAACTTACGGTATTCACTTTTATATGCCGTAAATGCAACGTCTTTGTTTTGAACTTGAAAAGATCCGCGGCTAAATTCACGCGGCGACGATGATATTATTCACGTCGCGTAAACATTCAACCGTTGAAGCTCCGGTTTTATTCGCGATTTTCGCGTCCTCGATACGTAAAATTTTAATGCTTTAACGATCGTGCTATGTACATCGCGTTCAAGTAATTAAATTATCTTCTCGATGTTCTTATAAATAGTTCCACAGCTATGTTCGTTTTTTTGTATATAAATAGATAATTAAGTGCGAAATTAAGTAAAATTAACTCAGACAATGAGTTTTATTTGTAAACCCCATCGTATATACCCACAAAATCCGATTATACAATATAATGATTCACGAGAGTGAAAGAGAGTGAGGGAGTATTCGAACGATGCTCGATTTACAAATTTGATATTTTAATTTAACAAATTGCTATCGAATTCGCAGTTGGCGGCCTATAAACGGACACTTTTTTTTATATATTCACCGATTTGATTTTTTTGAAGGGAAAAAATAAAAATTTTATTGTGAGTTTTGGCAAAAAATAAATATAATTAAATATATTAAAATAATGTTGTTGATGTAGAAATGGGTTCGAAGACAAAATTACCTAATGGCAGTTAACGTGTTAAATTGAGAAAAATCGACTTTTTCTTGGCGCGAGCGACCAATTGATGATCAATGGGTCGATGCGCGATTTCTCGTATGACGCATCAATCGATGAATCGTCCGGCGCGTTTTTTTATTGATGCCGCACACAGCGATGTGCGTTGCATTTTCATGGTCACGCGACAAGCAACGTCATTGCCGAGTGATTTCGTTTTAAAGCGCGTGTGGCCGTCGCTCTCGTGCGAGATGATCCGCAATTTCTTTGGGGAATTCTTACCGCAGAACAGAATTCCTCCAATGCACGCTGCAATGTCACGTTGCCGCTGCGCTGCGAGAGCGGATCCCTTCGCGGGTTAACGTCGTGTTTAAATAGCAAAACTATAGTTACATTAGGTGTGTTTTGTACGTGGTTTTCCCTTTTACGTGTTTATTCTGTCTAGATATTTAAACATTTTCATAAATATTCTACATTGTACTGCCATGCTGCGTGCATTTTTGAAACCGAATCTACATTCATTAAATTAATTTTTATATACACGTCCCGTTACGTATGTTACGTAATTTCGTTTTTAATTTTGAACTGTAACATTTTTGAACTTATACCATTTTATTAACATATGTAAAGACAGAGATGGAAAAATCTAACGCTTCCTGATTTTATTTGTAATATACGAGATGGAGTTTCCAACGGAGAGCAATAAATGTTGTTTTCTTTGACATTTCACCGTTAATTACGTGGATATAAACGCTGTACAGAAACATCAGCAATGTTCATTAACGATCATCAAAGGATCATGTGTAAAAAAAAGACCGTTTTATCTTTAATATCGGAAATTGATAAGCAAACAAGTTTGATTGCTTATCGGGAAATTGGTGTAATGTAAAACGGTTAAAATAAAATCTACGTATTTTTAATAATCTGCATTGCATTAAAATCACGTATAAACATTTTATTTGCTCGCAACGTCGTTCAGCTATATATAATATTCGGATTTTTACATATTTTATTTTATATGATTTCCTCATTTTCTATTCGAAATATTTATGTTGCAATGTTTGACGCGTCTTTCAAAACAACGTACTCATTATCGCAACAGAAAATGGGACATAAAAAAAGTACGCGGAGAAAACAGCAGGGTTGGAACGGTCGTAAACTTATTTTATTCTGACGTTACTTCCTTGTAAAATAACGTCTCGTGGTAAGTTCTATTGCGAAAATTACGGCGCGACAGTCACCGCGTTTACGCCGAGAAGGACGCAATGAATCACGAGTTTCTTTGTATCGACGACCTTTCCGAAGCATGAACGTAATTACGTAATAAACCGCCACGTGCATCTCGGTGACTTATTCATTGCAAATGAGACCGCAATTGCCAGCTACCATAATCGAATACGTAACTTTTATTGATATAGCTTAAATTCGAAATATTTCAATAAAGTAGGGACCTTACTTTTTAAGTAGAGATCACAGTTGAAAGCTTTAGCTTGAGAACGGGCGCTGGAGCTACTAAAACACCCCAGTGCCCAAAAAATAAAACTTATGTCACAGTAATTTTAATGTGCTTTTTTCGTTTAAAAAATTTTTTTATTTTTTCTTACTTTTTTCGGGAAATGTTGTATAAATATATATACATATAGTCCTCAAATACTGATAAATTACAGAACTCCAAATAAATTATAGAAACCCAAAATATGTAATATGTTATTAATAACAATGACCTATAATTGGGGTATAAAAGTAGCCCCAGGCCCCAGGTGACCGTTCATGCAAAAAAATGAGGCGTCCATTCTTGGGTTAAATATACAAACTTAACTTGAATCGAGTCATATTGATAAATGAACGAATGAGATTTTCCTAATTCTGAACCGCGAGCTGATTTTTTTTTTTTTAAGAAACGAGACATTTGTAGGTATCGATTAAAATTAAATTTTAACCTGAGAGTATTCCTGTTCGATTATTATAGAGCGTTATTTAAATGACAAATCGTCGTGATTGGTCTCACCCGGTCTCGCCGCAGTTCGACACGAGTATAAATAATATCCCTCGTTGTGTAAAAAGGAGGTCTCCGGCGAGAATGGAGGCATTCCAACAAAGGGCGCCATGGAATTTATGTCCATTGTTAGACTAGGGGGAGAGGATCACCAGTTCGTCAATGCAGTCGATAAAAATTTATGGGAGTATGTTGAATGTAAATGCGATGGCGGCGCAGGACCGTGTGAGAGATTTATAGGGATTTACATTACGATTTATTTATTCTTCCTGGTCACATGTGAGGCGGAGCGCACGTTGGACTCCCCTCCCCCCAAAAAAGTCCGCCTTAACGTTAAATCGATCGCATCGCGTATCTTTTCACGTTTCCTCCGCAACGCGTGGAAGTACCGCACAAAAATAATAAAATAAATTTCTTTCGCAATACCCGATATTACAAAGAGAGAAAAGGACATAAAATAACATTATAATGTAATTATACTTACGAACGTATATCATCAGTATAAATCTTCGAGATGGTTAAATCTGCCGAGCTTTCGTACAAGCGTGCGGGGCTGCGCTTGCAGCTGCATGAAAAAGCCGCCAGCTGCAAATGAGTAATGTCAGAGTGCCCGGGCGATATGTAACGTGGTGGGAAAATGGTTAATCGCACTCGCGGCGGAGACGGAATAGAGACGTATAATCTTTATGTCGGCGATGCGTTTAGCCTCCGCGCGTTTCCTCCGCGGATGCTAAACCTCTCTCGCGTGCATCGTATATCACAGTTCTCTTCCTCAAATCGTAACTCCGGGATTCCGCGTTCCTCCGCTACAAATCATTTTTGACAAGCGGTTATCATCAAGTTGCAGAATGCATTCTGCATTCTGCAACTTGATAACCGTTTGCCTCAACCCATCAAACAATTCTTTACAAGACGGTCTTATCGTACGAAGATACGCTGCTTTTCAGCTAAATTAGAACGAGATATTCTCTCAAGTTTCTGTTTTGTGAAGTATGCTGCAAAATTATAACACTGACTTTATTTAGTACTGGCGTTGCGGACTCGCGTCCAAGTATCGCTAGAGCTCGTCATTTTCTCGTTCTTCTCGGAATGCTCGACAGGCCGTGAAGGTACCGACAAAAAGACCTTGAAGCTACCACTTGGTACTTCAGCGTACTGAAAGCCGCGGATCTTATCTAACGACTCTCTTTCGCCATTCGATGATTTCTTACAGTACTCTCAACCCTTCCAGCACCCGTGTGCTACATGTCTTTCTGAGTTGGCTCATCAATTAAGATCATTATCGAAGTATAAATTCTCTGAAATCTTTTGTTTTACATCTCTAATATTTCAAAATACATTAACAGAAATGTCGTAATAATAAAGTGGTGTGTGTGTGTGTGTGTGTGTGTGAAACTGGCGTTTTGTAGAAACTCACAAACTATTGAGAGTTCTGGCTTCCTTTATATAGTCCTAGAATTCCTGATAGTTTAAAAGCGGAAAAAATGAGTCTGGACAAACTGAAACGCCAGGTAATAAAGTCGGCAAATTATCATATAATAATATTTTAACAAAGATATTGACATACCTCTTTCAACTTTTTGTGTCTCTTTTTCTTTCGTAAAACTCTGTCATATTTGATCTTTTAACAAAGCTTCACGGGATATGACACTCTGAATAGGAATCCGTCCGCGTTGATGCATGAAACGTTTTTGCATTTCCGGTCCCGACCCGAGAGAGCGAATCATCGCCAGCTGAGTCACTGTCGTCGAGCCGACCATCGTTCCACACTCCGAGCGAATAGATCGCTGTTAATCGATGATTAACGCGGCCCTCTCGATGATACCGACTTAGCTGAAGGATGCTCTTTCGGGTCGGCGTGTTATTCATTAAGCATTCGCTCTCGTAACGGCGAGTGGCGTCTAGAAGGTCCATTCACGACGACTTTGTTCATTCGTCGCTCTGTTTAAATGCGAGGACAAATTGCACGTTGCCTTGTCCATGAAGATGTTCTGTCGCAAGAA